ACTTAATGACCTGATCCAGTTACCAGTGTCACTAAGATAAATCTGCCAAAGCCATGACATTGATCCACCTCACACAGGTACAGACAAGAGTCATCAGTCCTGATTCTGGACAGACTCTGAGCCTCAGTTCCTTCATGAACACAATACAGGACTGGGAGTTCAAGTATTATTTTGGCCACTCCCTGTTTATGTTTACAAAATGCTATAAAATTCATATATATTAAAACATTTTTCTACTTTCATTGACTTAATTTTTTTAAATTAGCACCGCTCCTAGTAATGAAAACCAAAATATAATTCAAATTCAGAAATTATACGCTTTGAATACCAGTCAGATTATGTATTATTACTACATTTTGGGGGAGAGTAGCAAATAAATTCAGCATATGTATGATGAAACCTAATATATTTTTAATCATCATTGTAGGTTAGTATCAATTTTTGGGGGGAATGAATGGCCAAAAAAAGAAAATCACACATGGTGTTTTAGTGGCCAGAAAAGCCATTTAATGACCAAATAACCACTGAAATGATCAAAATTTATATTCCAGAGTGTTAGAGCTTCTGTGTGCATCCTCATTAGCAGCAGGATGTGCTAACCACATTAGAGTGGTTTTTGTAGGCGCACTTTCTACACCTGGTGCAAGGGGCTGCTGTTCCAATCTTGGTGGTGCGCCTTTTGCACCTTCTTCTCATTTTGTTGGTGGGGTGTGGGTCACACTCTGGTTCAGACTACTGCATCTTGAGATCAATGGCAGAAGTGGCTGAGAATCAGGGACAAGGGTGTCTTGCAGTTGTTGAGGTCACCAGCATGTGCCCCAGCTCTCCCAGCATCACTCTTCATTTGTAGGTTGTAGAGGACTCCCCCACTTCAGTGAAGGTGTTTCCAACAGGACAAAGACATCGTTTCCCAAGACATCCAGGAGATTGGAGAAAAGAGCCATCAGTTAGTTTCCGTTCAACTCGAGGTGCCAACACAATCTCTAAATTATCCAAGCTGTATTTGTGCCTATTGTAGTCCAGGATTGCTTCTTGCTTTCACACATCCTTTATTCCCCATCACTGACTGCTGGTTCACTGTGTGTTGTGCTCAAAAGAAGAACATTCCTCCGTTGCTTTGGCATGTGGGACATCGCCGTGGTAGTTTTGGTGAAGACAGACAGACAACAAAGTCTTTCTCTGTTGCAACTGGAGGAGCTGGGGAGGAAGCTCTGGGTTGTTTCCCCTGCGCCCGTTTTCATCTGAGGAGTTCCTCTACCAAGGTGACCGAAGGAAAGACGTTGTCCTCGGAGCTCCTCCGTCAGTTGGAGTCTGAACCCCTTGAGCTTTTTTGCTTCCTGAGAACTTCCAGTGTTGTCATCCAACATGCAATGTATTGCTTTATTCTGGTGTAGGCTGACATCTCTACCTTATCTGTAGTCCTTTAATCCTCACACCTTCGCCTCCCGTGCAGGTTTGTAAGGGTGCACAAGAGCTAAAAGATCTCCTTTGTTATAAAAAAGTCAAAAGTAGATCTCAGGCTGCTAATGCAGGAAACTGCATACAGGGTGACCCCTGGTTTGATACCAGTGGGTACTGGATTGTAGAGCAGTCTCTCTTCAGT